GCTGTCCCTTCTCACGCCTGCTACGTGTGGCAGCCATGGGGAGAGGGCCAGGCTGAGGTGGCGGTGACAGGACGTGGGCCTCAGGTAGTGGGCCATCGTCCCAGCTCAGGGGTCCTCGGGGTGGGGGGGCCATTGTCCTCAGTTTGCAAATAAGGACCTTGAGGCCTAGGTGAGCATCCCCACAGGTGGCTAAGTGTCCTTCCTCCCGACTGAGCCGACACCATTCTAAGCCAAGGGCGCATGGACGAATCTTAGAAGGGTTTGTACGACTGTCAAATCTCGTTTGGGCGACATCAGCCGCATGTTGGGGTGCTTGGCACCTTCCTCTGCTTAGAGTCCCCAGCTCTCCTCTCCCAGAGTGCTCAGCTCCCACATGACCCACTTCCTGAGCAGCCCCGGCCCCAGACCTGGGCCTCCGTGTGTGTGTGTTTCCCCATGCGGTCTCAGCAGCCCTGCGCAGAGGCATTTGCTGGCTCTGCATTGTGGATGCGGGAGCTGCGGACACAGAGGGGTGGCAGAGCGCCTGTGGCCTCCTGCTGAAGCTGCTGCCTGGGTCTCGTTGCAGAACGAAGCCAAGGAGGACTTCGACCAGGCCATCGGCTGGTGCGTCTCCCTGATCACCGACTACAGGGTCCGGCTTGGTACGTGGGCCCGCACACCCTTGGACAAAGGGACCGAGCTGGGGGCAGAGCGCAGGCCTGTTTCCCATGGCTGCCCGGCCTGGGGCCATGGCAGTCTTGTCCCCAACGAGGGCAGGTGGGCAGACACGGGGCGAAGACTGGGTGTGAATGGAATGCAGGGTTTGCTCTGAATCAGAGAGTTGGTCTCTGTCCGCCTGACGTCTGGCCGTTGGGAATCTTCAGATGGTAGCCTTTCTGGGTGCCCCCGGGGCGGTGGCACCCTGCCAGCAGCGCTGGTGTTGGGGTCTGGGCAGGGCTGACACAAGGCAGGCATGCTGACCCCGTGTCCCTCGGGCTGCTCCCGAGCGCTGTCTCTGATGGTATGACGTGGCTCTTGTTCTGCCGCCTCTGCAGGCTGTGGTTCTTTCGCGGGCTCTTTCCTGGAGTATTACGCTGCCGATATAAGTAAGCCCGCCGACTCCTCTTCAGAGGCGTGAAGCAGCCGTCTTCTGTGTCTGAAGCTCGGGAGGGGATGCGTCTGGGTGGAGGCTGCGCCCTGTCCCGAGCCTGACCCTAGATTGCCAGGAACAAGCCCTGATAGCCGCCTGCCCCCATTGTCCACCGGGCACTTGGCCTCTCCTCCTGCCTTCCCTGGTGCCCGAGTTTGGGGTGAACGGAGAGTCCCACCGTACCCCAGGGGCTCTGCTCATTGGGGCTACGCTGGCATCGGGCTGAGCTGGGGAGAGACGGGTCCCATCAGAGGAGGAGCCCTTAGGACCAGGGCGGTTGTGCCTGGGGGCCCGGGGGGGCCTCTCCCGCAGAGCCCCCAGACAGCACAGTGAAGGGAGGAGGGGCGAGCCGTGCCACACAGGCCGGCGGTCCCACGGATGTGTCGTTCGTCTGCAGGTTATCCCGTCCGCAAGTCCATCCAGCAGGACGTCTTGGGGACCAGGTTCCCGCAGTTGAGCAGGGGGAACCCCGAGGAACCTGTGGCGGGGAGCCCCCAGGGGAGGAGGCGGCCTTACAGGAAGGTCCTCCCTGACCGGTCCCGGGCTGCCCGGGACCGGGCCAACCAGAAGCTGGTCGAGTACATCGTGAAAGCGAGGGGCGCCGAGGGCCACCTGCGGGCCATCCTGAAGAACAGGAAGCCATCGCGGTGGCTGAAGACGTTTCTGAATTCGGGCCAGTACATGACGTGCGTGGAGACGTACCTGGAGGACGAAGAGCAGCTGGACCTGGTGGTGAAGTACTTACAGGGGGTCTA